CATAACAAAACATGTATGCAACAAAATATACAATAAAACATTCTACATGTATTAACATGTAGAACCACAGAGTACGATGTCCTCAACAGAGCAAAATTACCTGTAAATACAATTAAAGGAAGAAATGTAATGATTCTTTCAACTTTCCAAGCACTCTTGTTTGACACTGGCGAGGCCTCACCTGGAGTACTGTGTCCAGTTTTGGGCCCCACACTTAAAGAAAGATGTGCAGAGACACATTTATGAGGAAAGTCTGAAAGGATTAGGATTATTTAATTTGGAGAAGAGAAAACAGAGGGTGGATTTGATAACAATCTTTAAATATCTGAAGGGTGATTATAAAGAAGACGGAGAAAGACACTTTTCTATGGCTGTAGGGGACAAGACTAGGAGCAATGGCCACAAACTGCTGCAGAGAAAATTTAGGTTGGAGATTAAGAAGAACTTTCTGACTGTGTACATGGTTAAGAATTGGAACAGGCTAGGTTAGGCAGCCACTTGACTGGGATGGTTTATGCCAGGAATGATCTCTTCTTGAGCAAGGGGCTTCCCTAGGTGACCTCATGAGGTCCCTTCTAGCCCTGCGATCCTATGAGTTTACATGTGTCCTTTCCCAGAAGCAGACAGATCTCCATTTGACAACTTGTTTCAGGGAAACAATTTAAATTAAATTGCACTTGAATTCACTTCACCACACTCAATTGACAGCACACACCAACTGCTGAAACTTCAAAAACCCTTCATCAGGCTAAGGAACTCGAAAGCTTGCTTAATAACTATTCTCCAACTATTTGGGTTGGTCTAATAAAAGGTATCAAATTCACCCAAGGAACCTTGTCTTTAAAATGCACTTAAATTCAAATGCAGAGAAAATGGCCATTACTGAGAGCATAAAGAAAATCCTGTCCAGGGACTTGCTGGAAAGTCAGGGAAAGGTCTCAAATACCCTCTGTATGTTTCTTGTCCTATTTTGGTACCTACCTTTCTTTCTTCTAATGTAGATTGCTATTGAGATTGTCTGTATTTCACTTAAAGCCTTTTGATCCTGCAAGTCACTCTTCAGGCAGAACCCTTCTCTAAGCCCCATTTCAGTTTTTACTCTCCTCCTTCCATCTACTCAGTTCCTCAGAGGCAGCCAAACTTTAATTCAGACTTTCTTTAGACAAAGCCCGTTTTTGTTGAGAGGAAAATTTAGCTACAAATCTGAAATGTTTGGGAAGTGTAGCTGCTTAGAATGGAAACGTATTGACACCAATAACTCTGGACATTGCTGTCATTTAAAAGAATACCTTAAAAAAAAAAAAAAAAAAAAAAAGCAAAGAAAAGCTGAGTTTGGACTGATGTATAGACGTGGTAATTTCTCATGCTTTTCACACAGGTTGAAATGGACATTGTAGAAAAACTGGTAAAAATGGTGCCGTGTGAACATGAAGACCTGCTGAATATCACCCTCCGGCTTTTGCTAAACCTGTCATTCGACACTGGCTTAAGGAATAAGATGGTACAAGTGGGGCTACTTCCGAAACTCACTGCACTCCTGGGTAATGTTCCCTTTTACCCCGTGGAAGCCTTTCAGTTGTTTTAATGTGGTTGTTTAGCCTTTGACATCACTTTCCCAGGGAAAGATAAAGTGTTGGCTATTCCCAAAGAAGCAGTAGTTAGATTTGTCTTTTATCAGAAAATCTTTGCTTGCTACAGGAAATCTTCAACTATTGCTATGCCTCAATCTTTTTGAGTGAAGATTATTTCATAGACGTAGGGCTGGAAGGGACCTCAGAAGATCTTCAAGCCCAGCCCGCTGCCCCAGGGGCAGGAAGTCAGCAGGGGTCATAGGATCCCAGCAAGATAAACATCCAAATGTCTCTTAAAGGCGTTCAAAGTAGGTGCTTGACCCACCTCCAGCAGCAGTCTATTCCAACCCTTGGGGGCTCAGACAGTAAAGTTCTTCCTTATGTCCAGCCTGAAATGATCATGGGCAGAGTTTGTGACCATTTGATCTTGTTATCCCTTGGGGCACTCTGGTGAACAGACGTTCCCCCAGATTCTGGTGAACACCCCTAATAAACTTATAGGTGACCACCAGATCACCCCTGAGCCTGCACTTTTCCAGGCTAAAGAGTCCCATAGCTCTCAGCCTGTCATCGTAAGTTCTGTTTTCCTGACCTTTGATCATGCGTGTGGCTCTCTTCTGGACTCTCTCAAGCTTCTCCACATCCTTTTTGAATTGTGGAGCCCAAAACTGGATGCAGTACAGTAAGTTTTAGCTTATTGAGAAGGTTCTAGCAATTCGGTTCCAATCCAATCATTTTCTAGGTTCTCTTGGACTCTAGTTGATTTGATTTTATGTCTTGGTGTAATATGGAAGGTGTACTGGTAAGAGGTCATCTATCAAGTATTGATGATCAATAACCAGGTATCTATACTGTATCTCTTGAATCTATCAGATGTTTTTTAATAGCACTTCCTTTACTTCTGATTTGCCTGCGGATCTCAGAACCATAGACTGAGTTGTTTTTTAATGATTCTGGGGTTTTTTTCCCTCTAAGTGATACCACAAGATAATACTGGCAATGACTTCATTGTTCTGATAATTACCTCATGCAGTGTTGCAAGTTTTAAATTAATGGCTGTAGAGGATGCATGGACTGTTATATTAGTTAGTGGCCCGAGTTCATTCAGTTCCTTCAGTCAGTACTGCTTATGTAGTTACAACTTTCTGGTGCCTTAACAGAGGTACATGGAAGAGGATTGATAGCCTGAGCATCAGCTGAGATGACCCTTGGATAATGTGTGTGTAGTACAGGAATCCCAGATTTGGCCAGCTCCATACATGTCCCTTGTCAGTGGATATACCAACCATCTGTTGCTAAGGCCTGTAGCAGATATGCCTAAAATACCCCAGAATGCTCCCATCTATTGATTTATCAGCTGACCTTTCACTGGCTCCAGGGACTGCATGAGAACTTGAACCAACTCCGTGATCCCTGGAGTCAGCCAGTAATCAGCTGATTGTCAGGCACTTTGCCAGTGCAGGGGGCGCCTGGGAACATGATTCTGGGCTCCCCTTACACTGGCAAGTATGGTGCAATTGGGATCTGATCCCCGATCCCAAAATCACGTCTTCTGCCTTGTACATCTGGCATTGGTAGGAGGTGTAATTGTTGGGATCACAGATTAGATCCCATGGCGTCTTCAGAAGAATCTTTGTCAGAAGCCCAAGCCTTGCAACTTGGGGTCTTCTTGGATACTAAGCATCAGTGGTTGCCAGGAATGTATTGTATTGTTCACTTTTGAGATGGTTATGCCCATTTGGCTGGGATTATTTAGTTACCTTGCAGGGGATGGTCCTGCTTTGAGCAGGGGGTTGGACTAGATGAACTCCTGAGGTCCCTTCCAACCCTAACTTTCTGTGATTTCTTGTGGTAAGGCTAAACAAGACCACTTACAGAAAACCACACAACTTAGATCAGTTCCACCTCAGGAATGTCTGGACCTCTAGCCATAAATCTGAAATAATTTCCTTGCAGCAATGACAGGTTCAAATCTAGGCAGGGCTGGATTTGACTGTCATCCTCAAGATGGGTTGGTTTGCACCCTATATAAGTGAGGTTTTTTTTTTTACAGAACCTTCAAAGGTGAACTTCTGTTATCGGTGTGTAAACTATATGGATTGGTTCATTTTCTCAGTGTAGAGACTTGTCTGACTGTCATCTTATGAAATTTCCTATCCAAGCCCTGCCATGTGTCTTTGGGGATGCTGCCATCCAGGGGCTGCTACATTTGCTTTCAGTGGGAGTTGAGCATGTTGGAAAATTTGGGCCACAATTCATTAAATACTCTGGCAGAAAAAGGGCTCTGTGAAATGCTGTTACTTTTAATTGCAACATCTACATAAGTTGTTTTATGGGGATGTGGCCCAGAAAATGGAACTTGACATTTGATGGATGAACTTTCAGTCCCAACTGTGTTAGGAACACTTCATTTGTTTTTCTCCACTCTCCCACTTCCTGCCTTACCATTGTGTTTACTATTAGTTGATTTTGAAAATGTATACTGGGAGAGTAGTCATGAGCGTAAAATCTAGTCCTGTATACCTTGATCCTGGCAGTGAACAACTTCACTGATGCCTAAAAATAATTTCTTTCAAACTTTTTTCCACTTCCTACACCCCAGCTGTGTGTGTTAAATATCACTTTTCTCCAGCTGCGAAACAGAACTAGGAGAGGAAAGTAGGCAGGTTCCATTTAAAGGGTCATGTGACATTTAACAATAAGCCAGGCTGAGGGGTATGATCTGAACAGAAATCGTTTTTTAAAAATCTGATTAAAATCCTGTTGCTTCACATGATATGAACTGTAAGCACTTTGGGAAAAGGACTATCTTTTTGTTTGGTGTTAGTGCAGCATCTTATCTGTGATTGGGGCTCCTATGTGCCACCAGAACCACAAGTAACTATCATGCTTTAAATCACGAATGCTCAGCCCCCATGCTGCAGGGAAATTTTTAATATGCCCACCTCTCCCCAATGCCAAGTTACACCAAGCCCTGTGTGGCTTGATTGGGCTTGGGACCCTGCCCTTCGCCCCCAAGCCTACTGAGTTGTTGCCACATGGCCAGATTGGGCCTGAGACACCTTCCTGCCCCTGCAGCCAGGTAAGGGTTGGGCTGGGAGAGGTCATTGCTAGATGTGCAGATTTGGTCTGGGCCACCCCTCTGCGGCCACATCTGGCCTTGGCCTGCTGGGCCATTGCCTTGTGGCTGTATTGCATTCTCCCTCGCTCCCCCTGCCACGACCTGATTTGGGTTGGGCCGCTCCCCCCACCCTGCTTGTGGCCAGATCAAAGCTGGACTGGGCCCAGGCCCTGCCTACCCCATGCACTGTATCGGGCCCACACACCAAATCCAGCCTGAGCACCACCCACTCAGCCTCTTGGGGAAAAAGGGTTGGACCACTGCTCTCAATTATCCTGCAGTATCACAAACTGACCCCCAGTATCCTGTTGGAGCATGAAGCCTGCCGATGGCCATCGAGTGTGTATCTGCTTTTCACCGTTTTATGTGATGTAGTTATCAAGTTCCTCTTTAACATTATTTTTTATATACGCTTTGAAACCATTAAATGAAATACTGTCTCTTATTTTATCTGCTCTTCCAGGATTCAGTAGGATTTCTTTGATACAGTAGCTACAGCTCCTAAATGCAATTTGTGAGTAAGAACTCTGTGAAGCCTATATCTTTAGTGTTAAATACTTACATGCCAAATATCCCTGTTTATCCCAGTTACTTTGCACATTCAACACACATTGCTCGTGTCAGAGCACTTTCAGGTGAGCTGCAAATGTAAACCAAAGTGCTAATGTACCTTAACAGTTGTTGACAAGTTACCAAATAGTTCCTAATGCCATGGGGTCAAACTTGTCAGCTTGGGTTGCTGAACTTTAGCATTTGTGCCTACCATGCCTTTGAGTCTTTAGCACAGGGTTTGAGAGATTAGCACAAATTAAATATAGAAAGTATTTAAGAAAGAAGATGAGATTGTAAATAAATTAAAAGCAAGGCTTTTAGATGCGTGGCTGACGAGAGTTAGGTGTCTCAGGGTAGAGAACCAGCACAGTTTGACCTTGTAAAATAGCAAGTCAGTAGGACTCGGTGTTCTCCAGAGCCGTTTAGCAGCTTGAGAGCAGGAGTGGAGGGATCTCAGTTTAGGTTATGGGAGCTGGGAGATCTACTCATTACCTGCCTCTTACAGCACAGTTCAAAAGCTCCGTCTACACCTGGGATAGCAGCTAGATTAGATATTGATGGAGAAAGGTCATGTTTTCTTTCTCCCCGCCCATTTGCCCCAGATCCTCCTAGCTGCTGCTAGGAAGAGGTTGGGAATAGGGAGAAAGTAAAGGAAATCTTGTTCTTTCTCATCTTCCATTTATGTTTTCCTCCCATTTTTTAAAGGCTCCAGTGCCTTCTTCCATTTATAGTTCTGCCAACCAACAGCACAGTCAAACTGAATTTGTCTGTTTTTCACTGGCATGTACATGTTACAAAGCACAATGGTGAAAGTAACAAGACTCTTTGGGCATTTTTACACATGCATGCGCTGCAGTGCCCGGCGCTGTGGTGCATGCATTTGTATAAACGGTGAAATGTACGACAGCACGCAGAAAATGGCGGCAGTTTGCTTTTGAACTAAAACGCATCAAAAGTGTTTTAGTTCAAAAGTGCACCGGCTGCCGTTTTTTGCACATCAGTGCACATTTTGATGTTTGTCAAATGCATGCGACACAGCGCTGTACACGTCAGCTTGCATGCTTAATCGAGTCTGCTGTGATGTACTGGATCTCTGGCGTGTCACAGCATGAAAAGGTATGTGTATAAATACCCTTTGAGCCTTTTCTGGTTACTGAAGTTAATCAGCCTTAACTATGCTAAGAATGTTGAATTCTGGATTCTTTGCACATGTAAAGCCTATCACATAGCTTTATGTGTTTCCATCCTGAAAGAAATTGAAATGCTCATAATCTTGTGCTAGCATCTCCAAACATGT